TATATTATCTGTTCTGTCTAAAACACTTACAGTTCTTCCTATATTATCTGTTCTGTATAAAACACTTACAGTTCTTCCTATATTATCTGTCCTGTCTAAAACACTTACAGTTCTTCCTATATTATCTGTCCTGTATAAAACACTTACAGTTCTTCCTATATTATCTGTTCCGTATAAAACACTTATAGTTCTTCCTATATTATCTGTCCTGTATAAAACACTTACAGTTCTTCCTATATTATCTGTTCTGTATAAAACACTTATAGTTCTTCCTGTATTATCTGTCCTGTCTAAAACACTTACAGTTCTTCCTATATTATCTGTCCTGTATAAAACACTTACAGTTCTTCCTATATTATCTGTTCTGTCTAAAACACTTACAGTTCTTCCTATATTATCTGTCCTGTAGTACCACTGCCTTGAGCTTTTGTATCACCTAGAGTGGTGATTTCATTTGACCTTTAAATATTTTTTAATTTTTTATTGATTGATTGATTGATTTTTGAGACAGAGTCTCGCTCTGTTGCCCAGGCTGGAGTGCAGTGACACGTGGCTCACTGCAACCTCTACCTCCCAGGTTCAAGCAATTCTCCTACCTCAGCCTCCTGAGTAACTGGGATTACAGGCGTGCACCACCACACCCAGCTAATTTTTGCATTTTTAGTAGAGACAGGGTTTCACCATGTTGGCCAGGCTGATCTAGAACTCCTGACCTCAGGTGATCTGCCAGCCTCAGCCTCCCAAAGTGCTGGGATTACAGGCATGAGCCACCGCACCTGGCCGACCTTCAATTATTAACTTCTTTAGGGAAAGGGCTGTTTTAATATCCATCTTTTTTTTTTTTTGGTCAACTCTTCCTGTGAGTGACACCTATCCATGTTTTCTACATTTTTTGCTAGTACTCAATACTGAATTACACGGAATCCCTCTCCCTAAAATATCGCTGTATTTTATTTAGTCAGATCAAGGAAATACATTAAAACAGTGGTTCTCAAAGTTTAGTCTAACACGGTAAATACTGAAGTTATAACCCACCTAAACAAAAGCTCTCTGGTACCATTTTTAAGACGGTCAAAGGAATGCTGAGTCCAAAGAGTCTGGGAGTCACCGCGTTAAACAAATGGAAGTTTCAGTTTCAGGGACTTGATGTTTGAAGCACAGGATTTTTAAAAATTACAACCCAGGCTTTTACTGTATTTAAAATTAAGTACAAAATCATTATCCTCATAGTATGCCGTTCAATTTCTAAATCTGGAGTGAAAGCATTTACACGCCATTTCCCGGCACCTGCAGACCCCAGCATCGCCCCTTCGGGTGGCATGTCCTTTACCTGTCGCCGTATCAGGTGCGTCCGTGTGGCTGCCGCGCTGGATGAGTCTGGCTGCAAAGCTGTTCTCATCAAATGAAGTCCCATTTACCACGGGGACATCTTCGAAGGGGTTCACAGACTGGTCAGAAGACACCGTGATATGCTGCACTGCGAGCCACAGAGCCGTGCTGCCCTCGTGGTCTTTGAGTTCTAAATCTAGTCTGAAAAGCAGAAGCAATGTCAACAGCACCTACAATCTTTCTGAGACACTCTAGACTGACAACGACCTTGTTCTTTCTCTTTATCCTTTTTCAATGACACATTTTTTAGCTCACTTCAACTTCTTAATAAATGCGACACTAAAGGTGTTTCAGAAGAATGATTTTTCACTCACAACCCCCCTCCAACCCGTCTTCTCACTTGTGCACGTCTCCCTACGTACTGTTTGCACTGCAGCAGCTGACTGAACACATGTTCATTCCTGGCCATGACGGACACGTGCAAAGGAGTCCTGCAGGACCAAAAAGAAGAAGGGTCAGTTCAGGACAGGCCTGTCCAGGACGGTTCACGGCAAGAGGCAGCCCGAATCCCAGGCAGAGTCCCCACCCACAAGAAATTCCACATTTCTACAAGGCTTCTAAAACCACGACCCAGGATCAAAACCTGAAAACGGATCTGCTTATATGTGACCGTTATTCAGTGGCCAAAATGGACAAGAATCAGCTCAAGGAAGCGATCTCAAATACTCCCCAACTCAATCCCGACCCCCTCCTGAAGGCATAGACATGATTTTCTCAAAAACAGCAGTTTCTGCCACAGGTGTGCAGATTTTCCCTCATCTATTCTCCATCAATTCGGAAAAGAAACTTCCCCCATAATTTTCTGTTCTTCTCAAACACACTCAGCGCAGCAACAGGAGAGAACTGATGAAAGCTGCATTTAACCTCTTTTCACTGCTTTCATTTAGCACTCGGGAGCCCTGCGGGAGACTGGCACTGTGGAACTACCACACACACACACACATACACACAACACACACACTGTGAGTCAGGGCCCAAGGCTGCACCTATCTCACACACACACACACACACACACACACACACTGCAAGTTTACTGCCGTTGGAGGAAAAAAATAAAAGCATCAACAGCAGGGACATCGATGCAATTATTTTAGGAAATAAGGTAATTATCACATGATATTGAGATTTCATGAAGCTACATCTTATTTGTGTACCTTCCCTATCACACAAGTCCATTTTCCTATCTGACGACCAAACTTTACAAAAAATCTTTCCTTTTTTGAGAGGGTTTTCAAAGGTATAAAATACTGAGTTGTTCTAAGGACACGAGGGTCCCAACTGTGGTCAGCGATTCAGGTGACTTAACCGTCCTTCACAGCCTCACACCACTGTCCCGAGACAAGCAGCCTTTTCCTAGATCCTAAACCACAAGGAATCCCCAACTAAGTATTTCCGGAAACAGGCAAAATGAACACAGTAATTATTGTTAAATATGCAACAGGCTGTGCTACGGACAAAGGTAGCAAGCTGTGCAGATAAAGTGGGAGTGTTTACAAGAAGGTAAAATTGGGTTTAACAATTAGAATTTTCTAACAATTAGACCTCACAGAAATAAAACAGATTGTCTGGTTGCTTGGATAGTTCTTCAAACTTGGATAGTTTGAACTCTAAGAAACGCTAGAAGGTTCCCTTGGAGGCCCTGGACTAGACGACCACTCTGGTTCTTTCAAACATGAAGACACAAATTGCTTAAAAGCTCGAAGACTGGCACACGCCTGTAATGCCAGCACTCTGGGAGACTGAGGTGGGAAGATCGCTTGAGCCCAGGAGTTCGAGGCCAGCCTGGACAATATGGCAAAACCCTGTCTCCACCAAAATACAACAATCAGCCAGGTGGGGTGGCGCGTGCCTGTAGTCCCACCTACTCAGGAGGCTGAGGTGGGAGGATCACCTATGCCCAGGAGGTGGAGGCTAGAGTGAGCCAAGATCACACCACTGCGCTCCAGCCTGGGCGACAGAGTGAGATGCTGACACAATTAAAAACAAACAAACAAACAACAAAAAAAAACCCTCGATGACTTCAGTTACCCAGGACGGAAATGTTTTCCCCAAATGCCTCTGGTTTTAGTAGTGACACTACTACTATACATCAATGTCTGTGACTTTAATAAAAATCAGACTGAATAATGCCAAACTACAGAACATGAACTCCCCGTATGCCAGTGACCTGCTACCGTAAGATAATCTTCCGAGAACAGTGCTAAGGGCACGGGGTCTGCTCCCCAGCTTACCTCCCCTTGCTGTCCTGCATGTTGGGGTTGGCACCAGCCTGCAGAAGGGCCTCTGCAATCTGCGCCATCTCAGACATCACATCTGCTGAGTGTTTCTTTGAACTGTACAAGGCCACAAGGTGCAGTGGTGTCTCCTGGGCACCCAGTGTAGCGGCATTGACCAAGGCCCCATTCTTAATGAGGAAAGTGGCAGCAAAGAGATCGCCTTGAAAAGAAATAAAAGAAGAAACAGTAACACAGGACGACACTTAGGGCAAAGTGTTCTGGCCAGTGCTTCCTCCAGAGGCAGCAGAAAATGACTGCAGACAAAAGAGAGCAATAACTAGATGTGTCTGAAGGAACCTCTTGGGGCATCTGTAAGTGGAAACTCATCATTGAGATCATGGAGTTACAGACGAATTCAAAAGGCTGTGCTCAATTTTTGGTACCTGTTATCACTGGTCGTGCCTCCTCACCTCAGTATCCTTTCACTGTTTAAGAATACTAGGCTGGGCCAGGCGCGGTGGCTCAAGCCTGTAGTCCCAGCGCTTTGGGAGGCCGAGGCGGGCGGATCACCTGAGGTCGGGAGTTCGAGACCAGCCTGACCAACATAGAGAAACCCCGTCTCTACTACAAATACAAAATTAGCCAGGCGTGGTGGTGCCTGCCTGTAATCCCAGCTACTCGGGAGGCTGAGACACGAGATTCGCTTGAACCCAGTGGGCGGAGGTTGCAGTGAGCTGAGACCGCACTATTGCACTTCAGCCTGGGCAACAAGAGCAAAACTCCATCTCAAAAAAAAAGAATACTAGGCTTCTATTCTTCAAAGGCCTCTTTTGGTCATCTCTGAAAAGGGTTTCCAGGATCCCTCCCCACACAATTTCTCTCTTTCCCTCTCTCTTTCTCATTTCCTGACCACAGCTTGTACCTAACTAAGCAACACTACCCCCATTCTGCTGTACCTGCATACAGGTTCTACTCAGAGCAATCCCATGTCTGTTTCCACTGTACCTGCATACAGGTTCTACTCAGAGCAATCCCATGTCTGTTTCCACTGTACTCGCATACAGGTTCTACTCAGAGCAATCCCATGTCTGTTTCCGCTGTACTCGCATACACGTTCTACTCAGAGCAATCCCGTGTCTGTTTCCACTGTACCTGCATACAGGTTCTACTCTGAGTAATCCCGTGTCTGTTTCCGCTGTACCTGCATACAGGTTCTACAGGTTCTACTCAGAGCAATCCCATGTCTGTTTCCGCTGTACTCGCATACAGGTTCTACTCAGAGCAATCCCGTGTCTGTTTCCGCTGTACCTGCATACAGGTTCTACTCAGAGCAATCCCGTGTCTGTTTCCACTGTACTCGCATACAGGTTCTACTCAGAGCAATCCCGTGTCTGTGTCCGCTGTATTCCCATACACGTTCTACTCAGAGCAATCCCGTGTCTGTTTCCGCTGTACTCGCATACACGTTCTACTCAGAGCAATCCCGTGTCTGTTTCCGCTGTACCTGCATACAGGTTCTACTCAGAGCAATCCCGTGTCTGTTTCCGCTGTACCTGCATACAGGTTCTACTCAGAGTAATCCCGTGTCTGTTTCCGCTGTACCAGCATACAGGTTCTACAGGTTCTACTCAGAGCAATCCCGTGTCTGTTTCCGCTGTACCTGCATACAGGTTCTACTCAGAGTAATCCCATGTCTGTTTCCGCTGTACCTGCATACAGGTTCTACTCAGAGTAATCCCATGTCTGTTTCCACTGTACTCGCATACAGGTTCTACTCAGAGTAATCCCATGTCTGTTTCTGCTGTACTTGCATACAAGTTCCTACTCAGAGTAATCCCAAGTCTGTTTTATTATTATAAAATTTCTTTCCTTTTTAGATTTTTTTTTTTTTCCAGACGGAGCCTTGCTGGAGTGCAGTGGCACAATCTCCGCTCACTGCAACTTCCGCCTCCGAAGTTGAAGCAATTCTCATGTCTCAGCCTCTCAAGTAGCTGGGACTATAGGCACGTGCCACCACACCTGGCTAATTTTTTGTATTTTAGTAGGAATGGGGTTTCACCATGATGTACAGGCTGGTCTCAAACTCCTGAGCTCAGGCAAACCACCTGTCTCAGCCTCCCAGAGTGCCGGGATTACAGATGTGAGCCACTGCGCCCTGCCTCTTTTTAGTTTTATAATTTCATTATATACACGTAACTGACTTAACAAGAAGTTTACAATGAAACATTTGAACAGAGTATCTGTACACATTACTATTTACAAAAATTTCACATGGTAAATAACCTTGTTGCGGAAACAAAATTTCTTTCTAAATCCCTTCTGCTGACTTAACTCCGGAGGTATTACAGAGTCTACCTAGGACTATTTACAGATATCAAATCAACACTGAGGAACATCCCAGCGCTTTGGAAGGCCGAGGCGGGAGGATCGCTTGAGCCCAAGAGTTCGAGACTGCAGTGGGCCATGACTGTGCCGTTGCACCCTAGCCTTGGTGACAGAGAGAGATCCTGACTCAACAAAGCCTGAATAACTCACAGAAAATCCATTCTTCTTATTTTTTGAGACAAAGTGTCATTCCCATCACCCAGGCTGGTGCACTGGCATGATTACGGCTCGCTGCAGACTTAACTTCTTGGCTCAGGGGATTCTCCTGCCTCAGTCTCCTGAATAGCGGAGACTACAGGCACGCATGCCACACCATGCCTGGCTTATTTTTTTATATTTTTAGTAGAGATGGGGTTTCACCATGTTGCCCAGGCTGGTCTCCAACCCCTGGGCTGAAGGGATCCACCTGTCTCAGCCTCCCAAAGTGCTGGGATTACAGGCATGAGCCACTGTGCCTAGCCAAAATCCATTAATTTTAATATCTTCATTTACCATCTTTGACTATTTATGCTCTGTAGAAGTGAAAAAAACTACCTTGACATGTTGACAAAAGGCCAAGAATTAAGATGAAGATGTTAACAGTATACATTTGTGAAAATACTTTGTCAGACACTAGTAAAGAGAAATTGACTCTAGATTGGTTCTACAAATACATGGTTAAACTCAAACTAAGCAATCTGACAAGTGGACATTTAGTGTTAAAAATACTTGTGCCGGGCACGGTGGCTCATGCCTGTAATCCCAGCACTTTGGGAGGCTGAGGTGGGTGGATCACAAGGTCAGGAGATCGAGACCATCCTGGATAACACGGTGAAACCCCGTCTCTACTAAAAATACAAAAAATTAGCCGGGCGAGGTGGTAGGCACCTGTAGTCCCAGCTACTCGGGAGGCTGAGGCAGGAGAATGGCGTCCGCCAGGGAGGCGGAGCTTGCAGTGAGCCGAGATCACGCCACTGCACTTCAGCCTGGGCGACAGAGCGAGACTCCGTCTCAAAAAAAAAATAAAATAAAATAAAAATAAAAATACTTGTGAAAAACCAGTTAAAGTATACTTGTCAAGTTCACTTGGAGGATGACATGGATTAAGCAATTAAATTTGTTGTAAGATTAAAAGTTCAGTCTTCCTTGGATTTAGTTATATTTAAAACTTAAAACATGCAAACACACTACATATATATGAAATTTATGTTTCTTAAGAAAGTAAGGCAAGAATAGCAAAGCATCATAACACATGGAACAGAAACCTGTTACCAAGGCTTGGGGCATCACGCCTTCCTGGGTGAAAGCAATTGCTCTCAGTAGCCTCCAGGTGGCACCCATGAGCTCATACCAGGAAACTCGGGTTCTGGGGATTTTTTTGTTTTGTTTTGTTTGAGACATGGTCTCACTCTGTCACCCAGGCTGAAGTGCGGTGGCATCATCACGGCTCACTGCAGCCTTGACTTGCAGGGCTCAGGGGATCCTCCCAGCTCAGCGTCCTGAGTAGCTGGGACTACAGGTGCACGCCAACATACTCGGCTTTTTTATGGTTTTGGTAGAGATGGGTTTTGCCACTGTTGCCCAAGCTGGTCTTGACCTCCTGGGCTCAAGCAATCCGCCCACCTCAGCCTCCCAAAGTGTTGGGATTACAGGTGTGAGCCACAGCGCCTGGCCTGGAAAGTCTTTCAAGGATTCAGTTAAACATCTTCCAAATCACACTCATCTGCAATTTGCAACTTGAAGTCCCCATGTGTAACTCTGATGAGTGACAGCAAGTTAACCCAAGAGCCTGGATTCAGAGGTACTTTCTGCAGATTCCGTCTCCATTTCACCAAGGTCTACAGGACGAATTTCTTGCAAATCACATCCTTCTTCAGCTGGATGACCCCCAACATGCGGAACAACGTCCCAGAGTTTGATTTGCTGGTCCCATGAGAGTTGACTATACTCCTTAAATGTGTGGGTGATCTCGGGATGAATGCTGGATTGTTGAGGCTGCCTTGGAACTTCTTTAATGTATGAATCGCAGGCAATGGTGATCTGCTTTTGTCTTTGCATCAGGACACTTTGGTTCCTAATTGTTAGAATTGTGAGTGCAGACCCCTTTGCATCACAACCTGAGACGATGATTTTCTCTCTTCCAAAGTTTTCTTTTCATATCTTACGGTATCATTTCATGTCCTTTGACTACACATCTACAGTATGAACATCTGAAATGGAGTTTCAGGAGTGGTGAAGCTCTCTCAAGTCTGTTGCTGGTATTCCTGTGCACATTTTCATTTGAATATACAGGTTTCATCTGGTTCTCAGTGGGTATGAAATTAAAAAATCATCTGCTTTTGTTTTGGCTTTTGGTTTTTTGAGATAGGGTCTCACTCTGTTGGTCAAGCTGGAATGCAGTGGTGCCATCATGGCTTACTGCAGCCTCAGCCTCCCAGCCTCAAGCAATCCTCCTGCCTCAGCCTCCCAAGTAGCTAGGGGTACAGGCGCATGCCACCCTGCCTGGCTCATTTTAAAATATTTTTTGTAGAGATGAGGTCTCACTATGTTGCCCAGGCTGTACTCAAACTCCTGGCCTCAAGTAATCCTCCCACCTTGGCCACCCAAAGTGCTGGGATTACAGGCGTGAGCCACTGCACCCAGGCCGATTGTCTGTTTTTCAATACTTCCCATCTGCTCTATGCTTTCTTCCGAGGGACTATCTTGCTACAGAATGTGGGCTCTGGCACTGGGGCAGCCAGGAGGCCTCAGATGCTGACTCGTTCCTCAGATGCTGGATTGGCCCGTGTCTGATTTCTTTTTTTTTTTTTTTTTTGGTATTCACACTGTCTTACACAAAACAGACCCTGGGGAAACGTTTGGGAAGAAAATGGACTGACTGGTTAGGGCTATTGGGTTCTACTTTACCAGAAAGGCTCTCATTTGAATGAATTATGACTTCAGGTAACTTAACAATTTTCCAGTAAGTCCCTTCTCTTGAAATATTTTCATTCTTCTGCTCCCGTTTTGGGTGGGGTAAGGGGTGCAGAAGGGTAAAATCTTTACCAGTATCAAAGCTTAGATTTTATAGTACAGATGCAGTAAAGCACTGCAGGCAGCAGGTAACATGCATATTGGGGGCTAGGCTAGGTCAGGCCTTTGCTATCCATTTATACATATACACAGAGGGCCCTACTCTGTAGCGTAAACAAACTCTGCATGGATTTGGTATAGGAGAAAATATGTAAAGACAACAATATATTAGCAATAGAACTAAATATCCTAGAGACGGCCACTTACATTCTGGGAGTAGAAAGAAACTTTAGAATTATTAGGACAATGGGCCTTAATGAAAAGTCCAAAATATGAGATACTCAGGGGAGAAGGGATAATGTAGTTTCATTACCTTTAAGCTTAAAATATATTCCAAACTAAGACACAAATACATAGTGGTCGGGCGCAGTGGCTCCTGACTGTAATCCCAGCACTTTGGGAGTTCACTTGAGGCCAGGAGTTTGAGACCAGTCTGGTCAACATGGCAAACCCAATCTCTACAAAACTACAAAAATTAGCCAAGCGTAGTGGCACGTGCCTGTAATCCCAGCTACTAGGGATACTGAGGCAGGAGAATCGCTGGAAACCAGGAGGCGGAGGTTGCAGTGAGCCCGAGGATTAGCCACTACACTCCAGCCTGGGCGACAGAGCAAGACTCTGTCTTTAAAAAAAAAAAAAGAGAGAGAGAGAGATTAACACACAAGTAAGCTAAGACAAGACGGTTAACGGAAAAATGTGTAATACACCAAACATACAGGAGATAAACTGGCAATACTGCACAGGTATATGAAACCCTATGAATGATTGGAGTCAGATGGATAGCATGATAAAAAAAAAAAAGGTTGTATCTTAAATCCTTAGGTTCCTCTTAGAAGAATTACAGACTTTGAATCAATTTATTTTATTAATAAATCCAATATATACGTTTTACTTATAATATACCATTATATTATAATATATTCACCT